ACGGGAAATCGCAATCAGGGGAATACGATTTAATCTGGTCACCGATACAGCGACGTCACGGTTTAATGAATGCCAGCCGTACGCAGTGCTCCTTGACGCGAACCGGAAATTGATGCAATTTTCTCTTTTTGCCGGGTATTTGCATAAACTTTCTGTTCTCGGCGGTTTAATGAGCTTCGGGCTCGAGCAGTTTGAAGCGCCGTACAAACTTCGCTGTTTCCATCTCGCGAGAATATCTTGAAGCGGAAGCGGAAGAAATCGGTGCCCGAAAGACGAAAAGGAAAAAAGATTTCGCGTAGCGCGTATCGATTTTCTCCATGTCATTTCCTTCAAACTGGTCTCCTGTGATCGAAGTAACCCTCTATGGGTTGAATCTTTTTTTCGCAGGTAACTTGCACGGCATTTACTTTGATCTTGTTATTGGTTATCTCAAAGACAATCTTGATTGTCTCGAATGAATCATCTTGTGAGAAAAACTAAAATTATTTGTTGGAAAGTATTTATATCGGCATGTGATCTGAACGTTGGGCTCGTAGAGGGTTGATTCGGGGGCAAGAGAGTATCCTAGATCGAGGTAAATTAAAAAAGAAAAGCTGACAGTATTGTTGGAGAATTCTCCAGACTCTTTCTTTCTTTAACCGAGTCCGACGATGCTCCAAATTTGACTCTAAGGTGAACTACTTTCGAAATATAAAAAGAACAGAGGTCATGGATACATTTTCGAACTCAGGGTGAAGTAGCAACCTCGAATAAGTAAACGTGGCACAATTGAACCAGGACGATCGTTCGAGAAAATTGTATCTGTGTGTCAGTTTGAATTTTCCAAGCACATGTGCCCGATAAGCTAGAGTATGCATCGAGGCTTCGAGTAAACATACCGATCAACTGGAAAATTCGAGCGAAGACCGGGAGCGCATCAACGAGTAATTTGCATACGTTATAGGAAACGCGGTTCGCGCGAAAGTGAACGTAATAGGCAAGATTGCGCGCAGCAGCTGGTAGCGAAGCAATCGCGAGCGTGCTTTTCTTCGACGAAGGAATCTAGGAACTTGGTCTTTGTAAAGAATTCTAGGCGACGTCTTGTCTCTATTCGGGATCCGCTTGACACCGTTACAATCGCCTTTTCTTCGTCGATCCTTTCTTTTCTTTCGTAGCCATCGTGACCGTGGCACACGTTCTTCCTCGACGACGAAAAGCAATTTCATGCTCCCGACGCGCAGGCTATCCTTATTCGCCACCAATCTTCTTTGCGTCTCCGTTGATTAATTTACCGATTTACCTGTCCGTTTGAATGTTCCGAGACTCTCGATCGCGAGATTTCGTAATTTATCAAAAAGCAGTCGAATTCTTATTCGCGCATTTCGCGTAACGCCGACATAGTCCTCTTGTTAGTGAGAATTTCATTTGGACAGGAGCGAAGGTGTTGGCTTTCGTGGAGAGTTACGCAACGCGACGTAAATGTAACGCGTTCATTGCCGATGGCCTTCCATCCGTGCTCCGGAGACGTTGTAAAACGGGAGTAATAGCGAAAGGCTATTACCCTGTACCTATGTAGCTTCCGCAAACATTGCTTACGCAAGCCGTGCCTGAAACAACACGATTCAAAGTCAGGGGCAACGTTTGCGAAGGATGCGGATTAATCGCAATAATGAATCTCGTTGGTTCTCGCCAGTCGCTGCCGCGGGCAGAAGTCGACCTCCGTTTCTGTAGCACAGACTGCGTTTTCCGTTGACAAAGTAAACGCAGTTATCGTAGGTGTTCGATTCGCAGTGATTCGACCATTTTTATATTTGATATGTACCTAATCCTCCTGACACCTGTCAGTTTTAGGTTACGATAAGCTTTATATTACAATGATAAATAGTCACATGATACGTTGATAAATTTGAGTTATAACTAAACTGCGGATTTTTAGGCTTTCGTAGAAAAAATGCATAAAATGCGGACAATATGCAACAATATAAAAAAAGTATTGAAAGTAGAGTTGATGTTATAATATTTACAGAGTAAAATACATTTCTGTTTACGATCAATTATTTGTAATGATTTTATTTTGCATAAAGATACGCAGTCTAATTATAACTATTTTATTATGGACAAAAGTGAGTAAGGTTCCCCTTGAAAAAACTAATTTGCTTGTTAAATCTCCTCCACCACTTCACTTACAACAAAATTATTGGGTTGTCTGGAAAGTCCATGTCGATTTTTGGTAGGTAGTGGGTCGGAATATATTAGAATGAGCGAAAACAAATAACATGTATACATTTCTTAAATGGTGAAAAGATTGTAGAAAAAAATGGTATCTATGTAATTTATTAAATATTCAGGATGTCTCAGAATTAGTGTAAAAACCGGAAATGGGGGGTAACCCCATGGATGGTGCTTCGTTTTTTAATTGTTAACGAAGCACCATGCGACATTTTTGCAAAGGAAATTGTGGTTCAGAATCGTCTCAGTTACCCCCTATTTCCGGTTCTTACACTAATTCCGGCGCAATTAAAATTTAAATATACCTTTGAATTTTTCGTAAAACTTGCAACGGACTTTCCGAACCACCTAATATTTGCTTCAAAATAATTTCTGTAAAAACGTATCGTTGACAGCGTCATGAGATATTGAACCATCAATGAAACACCCTGTATTAGTCCGCGCATGTCGCGTATCTATAGAGGGTGTAGGACGCGAGTGTTACGCGCGCGTATGGCAGTTGATTTGGAATTCCATGCTTGTGGCGAGGCTGCCTACGATTTCCTAAAAACAGGCGTTATCTCCCGTTCCCCGTGCCTACCGAATTATCCAGGCTGCACCGAAATCAATCTTTGTCGTCGGTCGCTATCAACCGGATGCGCTATCTAATCTCCTCGCTGAACATACATAGTTACATGGAACGTGTGCGTAACCTTGCTCCGTATCTACCACGTGATTCTTCAGCGTCTCTGACAGGCTTCCTTCAACTCTGGTGTCAATGTCGCGTTCCTTTCTCGTACTCGACGCGTGGAGGAAGTTATTAGAGGATTAGGCGATTACGATCCTAATTCGTTACTAAACTTTGAAATAGTATTTTTTTATATTCTCGCCAGATTTATCCTAGCTCGGAAGATGAGCAAGGAAGCGAGTGACGCGTTGACCGATGCAAGGGCAGCCTTCCAACACTACGATTTAATTAAAAACACCCGATATCCGAAGATGGAAGAACGAGTCTTACATTCGGCGTAGTTTTTGTTCGAGGCTGCTCTATGTATGCCACCAGAGGTCTCCGACCTCTGGAATTACTTTTAGCATTCCATTTTCTGGAATCCTCGGGGAAATCGCGAGTTTCGTGCGAGCATCCTTACCAAAAACAAGTACTCCGTTTGGGACGATGCCGAGTTGAACCAAAACGCTACGGATTTATTTCTCGCCTCTATATTCCTCACCTGAGGTCCCTCGCCTCTAGCACTGCTTTTAGCGTTTCTTCCTCAGGAATCCAAGGGGAAAAATTATACGTTGCGCGAGCATTCCACGTCACTCGTCCAACAAGATTGCGATCATCCTGCGATAGAGTCGCGACCGCAGGATGATCGTTTAACCCTTTCAGCCCTAGTGGAACATATACAGTCAGTCCCAGAAATATTTGTACTCTCTACATCTATTGAAGAAATTTGTTTAAATTAAATGGTAGGTTTGACGAGTCCAAGTGTATGTTTGCATAAATATGTTAATGTATATACAAATATATACATGTATAAGCTTATTCATATTTATAATCAAAAATTTGTTTGGTAATATCAAAACTATTATTTCATTTAGTCAAGCTTCTTCAATAGACATAAAGGGTACGAATATTTATGGTACTGACTGTTCGTCCCAGTGGATATATCCTGATTGCCTTTGACCAAATTACGATAGAGACTTATAGGAACATATGTGAGAAAAATGAAAATCATTCGCTCTGGAGCAAATTGTCTCTTCTCATTCAACTATAGCGTTGGATATATTAGGGTGACCGAAAAATAATGTCGTTTCTTTTAGATTAAATTCAAACAAATTTGTAGTGAGTTTCTATTTTTAATCAATTATATAATCACCCTCCTTGGTGTGTAAATTTTCAATGATGCAATTCATCATTCATGATGGCATTCAATTTTCAGTGCCAGATTGATAAAAATCAATGAGCCTGATGAATGATAAATAAGTATCGAGCTTCGCAGAAACGACATTACTTTCCAGCCCACCTAATATAACCAACCCCAGTTTAATACAATTAATTTCTAAAAGAGAAACGAATGGAATAGAAACAGGAAAAATTCTGGTTGAAAGAGTTAAAAGGGGTACTTAATTCACCGCTGATGGCCGACATCAAGCAGAGCGTGTTTGCTTTCGCGCAGCTGGTTAATACCTCGTTGTTTATGAAGCTGTCGCCTTTAACGGCCTCCGCGACGCATGATACGTGGCCCGTGCAATTTGTGCTCGTGTACCTCGGCAAATCGGTTCGTTGATGCCGTATTTTAGAGCTCCCTAGTCAGGCTCTCCGTGCGATCGACAGCCTTTCAAACCTACCCTCTAAACTGGGATCCTTCCACTACGTCGGGTATGCGTCGAAGTTAGCAATAGCTGTTGCAGAGCGGATTAAACTCTGGAGGACCTCGAGACCCTTTTGTTATCCTACACGTTATCTCGTACGCTTATAATAGATATGATATCCCTTTCCAAGAGGAACGCTTTCTCTTAGGCTGGAAGTTTAGACTAGTTACTTCCACTATTTTTGGACTCTTTCATCCTTGATATGTTTAGTTATTCGCTGTTGGAATATTTACAATAATTCAACCTTCTATTTTGCTACAAAAATAAATGTACTGAGAATATGCAGTCAGTTCCATAAATATTCGTACATAAGAAATTCGTGAAAAATTGGGGTTGAGTCGTTGGGGTTTGAGGGCGAATGTCGGGAAAGGGGACAACGAGCGTCGACGTAATAACAGCGTTGGTTTCTAAGGCGCACTGGTTTTTCTGTTTCTCAGGATAGCACGAAGGTGTCGTGGCGCTGAGAGCACTCTAGCCGGAGGGTAATGCGCTTGGTGACCGGAAGTGAGAAGCCTCGGACGGCCTTTTCTTTCTTCGTCCCTCTGTCCTCTTCCCCTCTGGGCTCGTTCTCCACGGCGGTGCTCTCGTCCCGGTCGACCGACTGGAAGGAAGGAGGAAGGACGCACCGACAGCGCGGAGGTTTCACGATCCCGGGGGAAACGGAGCTTCAGGTGTAGGGGAACAGGAAGAGCAACGGGGACAGCAGCCAACAGGGAGCGCCTCGTCCAGGACGGCGCTCTTCTAACGGCGATAGGAGGGAGTTATGGTGTCTCGCACATGCGATGACTGCGGCAGCAGCCGTGGCACTGTGGCATCGTGCCCACCTTTACAAGGCGATCGTTTGCGTCGTGCTCGCCCTCATCGCCATTCAGTATTTACTTAGCGGCGTGATCGATCGCCGATCCATTGAGACGATTTTCACCATTAACGCCAGCAGGTACGCCACTTTCGTACTTTGTCAAACCGACGTCCCCGTTGCCGTGTGCTCTTCGAAATTGGAGGGCGTGGCTTCACCCATATCCGTTTTGGTCGTAGCTTCTGCAGTTTTGAACAATTTTCGAGTAGTTCTGTTTAATTTACAGTCTAGGTTTTGTGCCACATCGTATGATTAATTAGTTGAAATTCCAGTAGAGAAATATATCGCTCTACTATTCCACGACAGAATGGAATCTCTTCGATATAAGATACATACATAGATTCCACGTGTGAATTTTCATTAAAACGGTTTGGTCTCTGTATACGATTAAGGAACGGAAAACCATGGAACAATTATGTTTTTTGATACTGATTGTTACGGCAAAGATGGAACAAGAAATAGTTTCATGTGATTGTCGATTTACATAAGTATTATAATTTCACGAAAGACAGTAGTAGAGTTATAGCAGTCGATTTAATTTTGTTACTGCTACGGTCATCTCTTCGCATCCGTACAATATGGCGTCCAGAGGCACCTGTCCCCTTCCGTCTCTGCCTCGCCGCGGTTCTGGTAGATCATGTCATTGATTGGCACGCTAGGTACGCGCAGCAGTCGTCGAGAACTATTTCTTAAATGGTTCAATTCCCGTGGAACTCGAGAAATCTTCAGGCTCGGAGACTCAGGATACTTCACGATAATAGCGCGCGAACCACACCCGGATGCGTGGAAATCAAGCAGCGGTATCTTCGGATCTCGATAATTATTCGGCTTGCCATACATCGCTGTGCGCCTGCAAGTTCGCAAACCTTACTGTTCATACATCGTCTCGAGAAAATTCGCGAAATCTCGGAGCCGTAGGTTCGTCGAAAGTTCGTTTAATTTCGGAAGTATCCTACGCTCGCGTCTTTTAATTAATTTAAATTCCCGTCCACGGCGGAGGCTCGCTCATCCGTCCTCTCTATTTACACGCCGGTACGCGCGGCACTGGCCACGGTTGTCGAAGACGAGCGAAATTTTGCTAGAATAACTGGCGATGAATACAAACTTAACGAGAAAGTTTTATCGCAATCTGTTGCTGTTATTCAGAGATGGGCAGAATTTAATTTGAGTAATGGACGACGGATAAAACGTGAAACGTTTAAATTGCAATTTCTTCGCGTTCGTCAAAATGCAGCGAAACCCTGTTTCTGTTACCTAAAGAAGACCGCTATATCCACGGTTGAAACGTTATACCAAAAATAAAATATGCTTTGTTTTATTTGTAATTGTAATTCAAACAAGAATTTTGCTCATCTCTGACGACAGAAATACGTACTCGAAATACACCCGTGCCAGTTTCACCGTGAGACTAGTCGAAGTTACCGCAAGTAGTTGACAGGCCAGCGGCTGGAGGTTACGTCGAGATCGATTCTCGTCCTTTGAGACCCGCAGACACGCGAGAAATCTTATTAGTTGGCTTATAACAAGGTAAAGTGGCTGCTTAACGGCCAGGCTGTAACATCGTGGTTACCTATACATCCATCCAACGCCGAGAAACAATTTGCAGAGCCACCGATAATAGAAAATGATGGACGGTCGTCGATGATAAGGTTTATTACTTCCGCTATCGTTGTATTCCTGTCTGTCGTCGAGAAACAGAGTCGAGCGGTAAATTCTCACGCGGAGAGCACAAAAGGACGAGATGAAAATCTATGTCGTTCGAATAAGTTTTGATGGTAGATCTCCAAGTTTTCTAAACAAAGATAAACCAGGAGTACTACTACGCCACGGTAACTGCAAATTTCGAGCTTCTTATTCTCCTTCCATTCCACTATTGTAAATGTATCCCATTTGTTACATTCTCCTTAGAACCCTATATTTCTTTTAAACATGCTCGCTGTTTTATTCACCCCCATTTCCCATAATTCTCACCTTCCACTTGAACTAAGGAGCATCTTGTCATCCGTCTTATCCATAAATTCTGCTCGTAAGCCTAGGAGTAGGTTGCAAAGGAGCTTCCGCTGAACCTGACCTTTTTATTATCGCGCAACCGACGGTTCATATTTCCTTTTTCCGTTTCGACTAATAAGATCTCCCAGCGCAGCGATAACTCTCGGAGTTCAAAGGCAGACGTTTAATAATTTTCAGTGTACTATACAATAATTTTCACTTACGGGTCGAGAATCGTGCCAAGTTACTGCAATTTTTCGACGGTTAATTGCGGCCTTAATTCCCTGGAATCGAAGTAAATTTACGAGAAAATTCGTCCTTCCAACCTAGCTGTCACGTATACTCCCGAGGCGTACGTGATCTCGTTACTTCGTTAGCGGTCATTTAGATTGTCCGTTTGCGGAAGCGTTTCGCTAACGATCCTTTGACCTATGCGCCCTCTCGAAACGTCCATTTCCACGTAGTCGACAGCGTAAAATTCATCGCGAACATAGGGCGATTACGCCGCCATTACCGCGTAAAATATTTAGAATTCCCTTGGCGACCATTGGAAGAAAATTCCTCCTTTTCCTCTTCCATCGTGCTCGTTGCGGAGCTTACTTCGCTTAGGAGCAAACGATGCAACGCCGGCTCTTCTTGATAAGAAACTAATCGATAAAAGGAGGAGAACAGTTACAAAAATTAATGCAGGAAATGAGATTATCGTTTTCTAGTGCAGCTTACCATAGAAACCGATAAAATGTGATCCTTAGTTGAATGAATTTTACTTAAACCTTTGACGAAGAAATTGTTTTTAGACCCAATTGTGGTTGATGAAGTAGTTCTTTGATATCTGGGAGGGAAGAACTGTTTACGGAAATTTTGTAGTGATGTATCGAGTACTTTGATTAGGAACAGTCTTCTAATAAAGATACTTAACACGTATGCAGCTACAAGACCTTCGCAAATAATTTGTTCTTACCACTGTGGAGGTGTATCGGAAGACATTATTTCTACTGCATTGTTTTAGTAAACAACATACACAAAATTTAAAACATACAGTGTTGCAAAACAGTTTCGAATTATATTTAACGAAATATGAATTTAAGTTCGTCGAGAATTTTCCTTTGTTGTGGGCCGCGCCACAAATTATTCCTTATCGCGGAAAGACGAAGTTCACCAGCATAATGAGAAGCACGGTGGAAGACGAGATCGAAATAAGAAGTGGCGGGAGACAGCTTTCGCGCGCTACTTGTAACGTGCTTCTTCGCCAGGTTAAGGCTAAGGTCACTACTTTGAAAGGAAAGCCTACAACAGCGGCATTGTACTCCTATTCCAGTCGCGTTCACTTTTGCGCCGCGAAGGTGGCGTCGCTAAGATGAAAAGTCGGTTCTTCGAAAGTTTATCTTCCTTCTGTTCGCCTCGGTTCGCCGCGAAATTGAACATTTTCCTTAAGAGGTTGCACTTTCTTAACGTTCATGGTCTAGATACTCACGAACGTACAAAAAGTTCGTAATTCTGTCTTTAATTGTATAGTTGCTAGCATAAACAAGTGAACGAACACCACAGGCTTTTGCTTTTATCTCGGTAACTAATATTTCTTTACAAGGAGCACCTAAACAAAATTTAAACAGTTTCATTCGTAATTAAACTAAGATACTATGAGTTACGAGATACTCTGAAACGTAGAATTTTAAATCCTCAGGGGCTATAGCTATATTTAACCCTTTGACTGCAGAGGGCATATATATACGCCCTCGGGAAATGGGCTCAGAGAAATCTTTATATTGATTAAATTAGTTGTTAAAAAAAAAATCAACAATTTATTCATAGGACGTTTAGTTTCGAAAATAAAAATGGAAAAGTTAGAAGTTCGTTGGAAATCGTCGTATGAATAAACTGTAAATATAAAAAAGTTTCGTCTTATGCCCTGTACGCTGATATTTAATTTTTTAAATTCACACCTCTTAAAATTTTCAGCAAAAATCGTCCCGCAGTCGAAGGGTTAATTGTAGCTATGAAACTGTGGGATTTAGTTCCGCCATTTGGTGAAAATTCGTTCTAAGTGGATTGGACCCGCAAGAGTCAGCCAAGATCGTCGCTTTTCAACGGAATGCGGGTCGCGGGGGAAAACGGTTTAATTAAAAAACCGTGGAACGTATTTAACGGAGCGGTTTCTTTCGCAGCGCTTTCGACCGCGATTTACGAGCCGGACCGGTAACGGTTAATTTAAAATTTCACCAGCGGCGCGTGACAACAATTTGTTATTCCCGCGGCTCGTTTATTCGTTGCGTTGGAAGTCCCGGCGCGCCAACGGTTGCAGTTATTTGTCGACGTTTCGCGCAGTTCTCTGTCACGCGTCGAACATCGAGTTTCGTACGGGGCTGATCGTTTTCCCCGATTCCGTAGCGATTGGAAAACGAACGCACCGTCCCGAGTTGTCAGTGCCAGCCGACGGCTCGTAATCCCGTCGCGTGCAAATTGCTAAAACATCTCGCCCGATTGTGTACAGGCTATTTATTGCGTTGACGCGTCACTCGTTAATACCACGTGGTTGTTTCACAACCGGCCGCGAAGTTTGAACCGCGTCACTTTCAATGAATTCTCGGTTAGGTCCTGTCAGGTCTGTTCCTCCGGCGCTTTAATCGATACTAACGAGTACCTGACAGGCCTTGGTCGAAACCTATAGAGACGGTGGGAATTGTGGATCTCGTTGCAAAATAATGCCAGACGATCTCCTGAAGGGTCGTATCGCGACGAATCAATCAGATTCCGTGGTCAACGTCAGGGCTTTTATTGAAATTTGAATAGTACATGCTATATTAGGGGGAGTTTAAGTCATCATTTCGCTGGGATTCCATAAATCAATAATCGCCGAGTTAAAATTAATTCTAATTTCTTTTTTCACGAGAAATCGATTCTGAAAAGTACCCGCCCTATTTCTGTTAACATTCTCTACATTGTCGCAGTTATTCAACCAATACGTATACTGGACCATATGGAGGCGAAATTTAATTTAGTTTACGATTTGAATTTTTATTCACTCCGCGACGCGTGTAAAGTAATTGATCCTTCGTTCGTAATTCGAGACACTAGTCTAGATAAGTCTCACA